AATGTCCTCCGTGGTTCCGCAGCGTGTGGTGTATATAATCCCCCTGGAGGATTATGTCCTACATCTGAACCCCATTCGGTTCTCTCATCCTCCATTTTTCAAAATACTATTATTATATAACGGTAATAAAATCAGAAACAATGCAGCAATACCACTGTAATACTACCACACACTATTTTGATTTTAACCTGAGAGAAAAAATCTGCTCCCCTATTTTACACAACAAATTTATTTATACATCGTTTTTAGTGTTTAGGGCCTACTTTTTCTCAGGTCTCTGCTAAATGCTATAATCATATAACAATCAAGCCATACAATCAAGCCATGCAATAATATAACAGTAATATTATTACGGACAACATATTGACCCTCTAATTATATACCAGTAATATAATCAAACAATATATTGATAGGGCAGGGTTTTGCCTTTTTCGCCTCTTCAGTCCCTCAGTCCTACTGGCATTTGAGTGGCCGACTCAACTAGACTTTCACAGTGTTACAGGGTTCGCTGTCGGATACAACTGTTTTTAGACGGGGGAGGAAGCTATACTTTTTGTTTTAAATAGTACACTCTTGCCTGGCTTATGTTTCAACAAGCTAGGTACCCTTTAAACCTATGCGCAGCAATTAATATTTACTGTCCACTAAATTCACTTAAACGCCCTCCCGTGAAGTACTCTTAGTTTAAATGGTTTCCTATCTTACCTGGTCTGGTTTTTTAACTCTGAGGGTCTGTCTTATTGTCCTGTTTTAACTGGACGACTCCTTCTCCTGTGAAAGGGCCGGCCAAGTTTTTTATAGGATTATTGACAGCCTCGACCCATGGTACCAATTCCTAATGTAGATAGGGCAGAATAGTAAGACTCTTTTTTGCTTGACTACCGGTTCTGGCGTATGACCGTTACGAGCACCTGTCGGGGAATTGTCTGTTTTACCTCTTCTGGCAGAGTTCAATAAATCACCTCAGCTTGATTTCGCTGGTTGTGCATCACTTTTTCTTTTCTCCTCAGGAGGATTCTTGTAGTTTAACCTGAGAGAAAAAATCTGTTCCCCTATTTTACACAACAAAGTTATATCTATCGTTTTTAGTGTTTAGGGCCTACTTTCTCTCAGGTCCCTGTTCGGGCACCATGTAGCGCGCGGTGCCCCTGCACGCTTTCTCAATTTAATTTTCAATTAATAAAAAAAATTATTTTAATTATTTATTTGTTTTTATTAAAAAATATTTTTTATTTAATTTATTAAAATGTATTTCTTATCAAAATGTTTTAATTCATCAAAAAATAATAAGTAATAAACAAATAGGAGGCCTTTTGTTTGAAACGAACAAAAGTGGAACAAGGGGCCCTCAGCTGTGGATGCGCGAACTGAGAGGACCCTTGCCGGCGACGGACAGACACGAGCTGGCTAAGTGGTTACAGGTCCTATTAACTGAGGGAGGAAGTGCGATTGTGATCATCCTTGGGCCCACCCATTTGGCTGACGACTATTCACTAACAGAGAGAGTTCGGGGAAACTAAAGAAAATCAACAAAATTCAAAGCTAAGTGAGAAAGAAAGAGATGGAAACAAGAATCCTAAATGAATATGAATACTAAAGCCCTTTATTTATTAATCAAACTCCTCCTGCGGTCCTTAAATCCAAAAATTGCAGCGGTGAGAGTGAACTAAAAAACTCCAGAGCGCCATTCACATATAACAATTATTATTGGGGGCCCAACATTATCCAAATGGGAACAAATGGATCACCCTCTGCACCAGTCGCTCCAGCTGTCCCCCTTATGAACTGCACCAGCTGGCGGCTTACCTCCACCAGCAGCTGGGCCCACACCATCGCCAGCAACTCCCTCCCCCACCTCTGCCACAGCTCCATTGGAGGAGTAGGAGTAGGAGAGGGAGGAGGAGTAGGAGGTGGAGGCAGAGGCGGGGGGGCTGGCTCAAAGCTCCGGTGGCTTGCTGAAAGCTCTGCTGGCTTCTCCTCCAGACAAACATCACCTGAAAAACAGACACACAGTGTAAACAGCAGAATGCGTATAAAATCTGTAGCCCTGTAGACAAACATATTTTCACATGTTTACATGTTTAACAATAAATAATCAACAAGCGGAGGGAGTGCGGGGTGGAGGGAATGGCCGAGTCAGATGAGGTAGAGCTCACGTTACTGGGCTTCCTAAAAGATTTCTCTGTCAGCACTCTAACAGAAGAATTCCCTCAAAAATAATCTCGACCAGCAGCCCTGTGACACTGTAGTGCTCGAATTCAATGAAAATCACATTCTCCTCAGTTCCTCTCACAGTACTTCTGTACACAGTGTACTGTGTGTACTCAACAGGCCCTAAAAAGACTTTCATCAAATCCTAACTTAAGATGTACACTCTCACACATAACTGACTATGTTTAGTAGTTACGACGTTTTCTAAAATGACCCCCCCCCCAAACAAAAGGGTTTTAATACATCTGCAGCCAGTTTAAGATGGATGATAGTGTTTGGCAGTATAAAAAGCACTTAATGTAGTAATGTGCAATCCTTGAGGTAAAAATGCAACCTCTCTAACTCCTGAAGAAGAAAATTACAGAGTAGAAAATAAATTCTAGGCCACTAGGATCCGCTATTAGACCGGCTGTGTTTGAGCACAATAGAAACGGAGGAAAAGGTTGAATGAGTGTCGACCATAAATTCATAAATGCCACTTCAAAACAACCTTCATCAGCAGCAACGGTCACTACAATAAGTCAAAAACTGCTTCATTGAGGACAGCGTGGAAGAGCTCTGCTGGCGTTGGACTGCGTTCCGGGACCAGCTGCTGGAGGCTACTGATCATCTCGTCCTTTGGACCGGAGCTGAAGGAGCGCCGGAGAGAGTCGGTGAGGCCACCGGAGCTGGTTGGAGCTGTTGAAGTGCAAGAGGCAGTCGGTGAAGCGGCGGAGCCAGTTGGACCGGACCAGAGCTGTTGGACCGCCGGAGGCAGTCAGTGAAGCAGCGGAGCTGGAAGAGCTTACCTAACGTTACCTAACCTTGAAAAACTGTGGACACCATATATGCTGGTGCGGAGGACCTGGCTGTTTATTTGTTTTTGTTTAGTCTAGGTCTGTTAGTTTGTACTTTAAATAAATGTCTATTTATTACTTAACTCGTCTTGTCTCCCTCATGTTGCGGCCTTTTGAGCCGGGTCGTGACAGGTCGCATATGGATGCTTGGTCAGGACCCTTTGGTGTCACTTTGTAACGCATTGGGTACCCCTTGGCGCCACTTAGGTTTAGGCTAAAAACTATTTGGCTAGCTCTAGGAAAACACAATGGTTCGGGTTAAACCTACCTACCTACATAAACCGACATTCTCACTCTTGGTTTGATTTGTATTCAATAACTATATTGTTACCTGTTCAACTCCACCCCTATTTTGGAGCACAACTGCCTAAAATGACATACCCCAAATTAAAATGGCCGTAGCTTCTGAACCACTGACTATATGCATCAAAAATGTCAGAAAACCTGTAGGTCATACAGAAACGGAGGCATTTGGAGTCAGTAAAAATTGAAGATTTTGTCCGCATAAAATAAAAAAGTATCTTTCAGTATAAATAACTGCCTGTGGCTGTATCTGTACAGGTATAGGGCTGTAACTACACTATCAGTGAACAGCTGCCTCAAATTTGAAGAAGATTGGACAAAGTATGACCATTCTACAGTGTTTCTTCCATGAAGAGATCCAGGCGGAGCTCTAAAAGGATATTTGGAGACCCAAATGGACACATGGTAACCAAATGATATTCTGACACACTAAAGGTGTTTCTCCCTTTATATTTTGATATATTATTTTCCTTTTATTTTTAGCCTTTGCAAAAGCTATGTATATATCGTCGAAGACGTGGTGTGTGAGTAGCGGACTTGCTGTGCGTAATGGCTGCGACCGAGCGCACGATCGAGTATGCGGGTAGCTCAGTTACGCAAGGTTATACGTTGGTTGACGGCTTATAGAAGTGGGAAATAAGGTTTCTACTATAAGGACTAGCGTTTTCTGAAGCCACTAGCTCCATGGTAACATCCGCTAGCACATTGTCGGGTCTGTAATGTGTCTTTTTCCGTCGACATGCTTGCAAGATCCGACTTGCAGCGGTTATGGCGAATTTGGACAGTGTGTGTTTGGGCTCCTTTTGTGACAAATCCATAAGAAATGAAAGAAAATCGATGATTTCTTTGCAAAGATGAGGATTTTGGGCATGCTGGGATACCAAACACGGCCATGTTTTGTGACGTAGATTGCGCAAGCAAGCCGTAGGAACGGAAGGAGAGGGGATCTAGGACGCCGGCGTCCTCGCGGAGTTGAACAGGCAAAACCCTTGTCAAATACATGAGATGATACAATGTGATGATCACAAAGACATTTATTTATCATGTGTATGTAAACCTGCATACACAACAAGAAGCCCAACATGCTTTCCCACGAGCGTTGGATGTTTCGTCGCCAGGTGTCGCTTTAGTTTCGAAGGCTTCAGTGCTTCGTTTGATAGCATTAGCCCACATTCCACACACTGAGCCCTCGGCTCTGCCTCGTTGCCTCCGTTCACAAAGCCGGACTTAAGAAAGTCAGGATTGTACTTGCGCACACATTTAGACTTTTGGGGGGGGGGGGCACCACTGTTGTCTTTATTTTGTTCTTTTTAAAAACTCCATAACTTTCGCTACAGGCTAGCGGCTAGCTGAGTGTCTTCTTCTGCTTATTGGAGCTTGTTAAACAACTGACTGACGCATTACCGCCACCAGGTGGTGGGAAGCTATATTGTAACTGAGCGTCTCATGGAGAACTGTAACATCTCTGGTGTCTTCAATTGATAACCTATGCGGTCCCGCGGCCCTCGCGGTCCACAGCTGCAAAACAAAGTTTTTTGCGGCCCTCTAGGTGGCGCTCGCGGCCCCATGGTTAAGAATCACTGCTCTAGAGAGTTGTTATAATGTATGTAATGTAATGCTATAGTATACGGTATTGATCAAGCACTGACAACCGCTGCATTAAAAACTAATTATTTATTGCTAATCCTAAACTACATTCTACGTACTGTATGACCACATTTCCAGTTCCACTTTTTAAATAGCACATGACATAATTAAACCATTGATGGGTTAATCGCTTCTTACATTGTATGGTTTATCTGTAGCCACTACTTCACTGGAGCCCCTGTAGATGGTGCTGTGTAGCACATGAGTTAGTTAATAGCTGATAGGTAACATACTGTGTGGACCATATGGACTGACCTGCACTCAGCCAATCCATTTAAAGTGTTTCATGAAAAAAGACAAGTTGAACACATCAGTACCCAGTCAAAAGTTTAATTATACTCAACTGGCAATTCAATAATCACACTCACTTTTGGCCAAGGGGTAGTAGCATGTGTTAGCTTCAGAAACTAGAACAGATTTGAATCACTTGCATTGTATTCATTATGATGCACAGCAAATAGTTACCTGATTACAAGGCTACATCATACAACAAAAACAGCAGCAATGTAAGAAAAAAAAAAAAAGAGGCAAAGTAATTAGTTGTAGCCAAAACAACTCACAGTGAAGTTTATTGTGTACATGTTGGTGAACATTCACTGATACAAAACTGAGGTTGTACCCTCTGTGGAACAGTAGCTATGTTACAGAAATACAAAATAAAAACACTCAAATTCTGTCCGGTTGCATTTAAGTATACACATACACTCATATTTTACATCTCACAACATCCATAGTACACAAAATGAAAAACAAAATTATTGCTGTGTAAGATGTATGCACAGATTAAGGTTATAAAACAACTAGGCCTACTCTTTGGAGGTGAAAGAGTCTCAGGAGCACACATCAGAGGCTCCAGGCGGGGCACTAGCGGTGTCCATATTTGGCAGACCAGTCTGTTCGCCCGTGGATGGACTGGACCGGTGGGCGAGGCAGCAGACCGGGGGTGCTCTTGTTGCTCGATGGCATGTTGGTAGAGGTGTTCATCGGACTCCGGCCTGACTGCCATGTTGCATAATCTAAAAATAGCATCAAAACAGGTAAGACAGCTGAATATTACAGAAAGCTCTGAGCTCTGAAATCCATCCTCACTTGATGCTGTGGATTCCACTGGAGGACCCTGGTGCCTTCTGTGACCGGCTGAACCGACGTCTTTCTTGTAAAACGACGGCATGTATCCCCCTGGGATTGTATTGGTACCTGATATTTAAAACAAACAATAACCGATGCAGTCATTTGAATGGTAGCGATAACAACGAGCTGCAAAAAAAGATTGCAGTGAAGTTCAGTGCGAGATGTCCCGGGAGAGATTACCGTGAGCACCTCTGCTCGGCAGAGTCCCTCCAAATGGAATACTGCTGTTGCCCCAAAGATGGCTTCCGGAGAAGTCTTTACTGGCATTGATGGCCACGTTCTTCTTTGTGCTAATGCCTGAGGGAGACGGTAACAGATTATCAGATGCATTTATCAAGGAAGATGATGCTAATGAGCTAATTTGAATCGAACAGGTTAGGCATGAATGCACCTGCAGACACAGATGATATCGATTTATTTTATTATGGACTCAGTCCTACTAACTTTACTCAATGGAAGTATTTAAATATACCAGGTAAATATCTTGACTGCCTGAAGTAATGTTGTTTGGCAGACGCGGTTCTCGGTGGCTCCTGGTAGGCTGAACTCTTGTTCAGGTTTAAAGGTGCTTCTTCCTTTCCATTGGGTCGACTGTAATCCAGAACATTTCCATATCTGAAAGACAGCGTGCATTCAATGACACGATAGGTAGTAATGGTGATGTATGGACGTTAGCTGAGGCTACAGATCTGGTATTCCCATTTGCATATTTGTTATTGTACATAAGCACAATGCAGATGCCACTGACTCTGCCCCTGGTCAAAGGTACCACATGATGACAGATCGTGGCCTCACCTGCAGAGTGTGTCCTCCCCCGGCCTCGACTTCTCTGTGGAGAAGTTGCTTTTTCCAAGAATACTTATGGATGTCAGATCCGTTTCTTCATAGTCGTCCCAGTCATCACCCTTAAGGTGTCCCGTGCCGTGGCCCCAGCGCCGCCGCCCCCCTTTAGGCTTCAACTGATAGCTCAGTAGGTTTGCTTTTTCTGTCTCTTGTCTTGTTTGCTAAAATAACAACATCAACCATACATGTAAGGAATATGTGCCACCATTCCACGTTCGAAAAAACAAGTTATTTTAATATATTTGTCTAGATATTCTGGCCCCTTTGATATGCACTCTAAATTTGAAGTATTACCGTAAATACTTCGTGAAGCACAATAATGTAGATTAGATGTTTACATCAATAAGCCAATATCAGAAGTGTGTAGGAGGCCAGGTTTACACACATAACAATATATCATGTTTCCAGACTGACCTTGCTCTGGAGACTCTTGTCAACAAGGTAAGGAAGATGGCTCTGTGCTGTTCCTCCGGTCTGTTCCTGCTTCAGGATGTGCTTCGGTTGTTGCTCTCGCACCAGCTCTGTGTGCCGTTGGTACGCTGCCGCCTGCGCAGCTGCAAACACAGGGGAGGGCTGGATCTGCTGGAGAGGCCTGGGGGGGGAGCAGTGTTGGTTGGGAGTTGGAGGATGGGAGGGAGGCACAGGCTTAAGCAGCAGGGGTTGTTGTTGCTGCTGCTGCTGCTGCTGCTGCGTCTGTAAAGGAGCTTGCAGCGGCACAAGGCCCGGCTGAGGTCTGCCCTGCTCGAGGATCTGTTGAGGAGTGCCCAAAGCCTGGCCCACGTGGAAGTACGAGTACCTGAGAGCCTGAAAAGATATCAAGATTTGAACAAAACAACATCAGCTTTCATTCTGTATGTTCAGCTATGAGGAGGACGTGCAGGTCAGACACTACCTGGGCTGAAGCTGGTCTCTTCTTGGGATCCCACTGGAGCAGGTCTGTCATCAGATGAATGGCTTCAGGACTGGCATTTGGGATCAGCATCTTCAGATTACTGGGAACACACTGAGGCCAACGGAAGTTCATGGCACTAGCCAGATGGTATCCCTCCGGCCAATCATTCTATAGGGGGGAAGACACACACATTTACGGAACATCATATTTAACAAGTAGTGTGTGTTTTATTCACCGTGACAGTAGTAGATTAGTAACATAAAAAGAAAAAATACATATTCCTACGACACAATATTAATGTTTTTGTCTTATTTTCAAAGCAAAATGAAACCTGTAGATGAAAACGGTGATCCGGGTCTCGGCTACATGTCAAGTGCAGTTAAATAGTGAGGAATTACTCAGTTGTGTGTAACAGTTGTGTAAACATTACCTTCTTTGGCGTACCCAGGACTTGGCAAACTTTGAATATGGTGTCTATTTCACTGGAGCCTGGGAAAAGAGGCCTGAGGGTATAAAGCTCCGCCATGATGCAGCCAACTGCCCACTGGTCTATGGGCGAACTGTAGGATGTGGATCTGAGGAGCACCTCTGGGGCTCTGTACCTGGTCCAAAAAGAGAGGGTACTAGGACTTGAATGCACTGAACTGTCACACAAAATGCACTATGATCACTCTCAAAGAAGCTCACCATCTGGTGGAGACATAGTCTGTGTATGGCGGTCGAGATCTGATTTCACGGGCAAGCCCAAAGTCAGCTATTTTCACCAGCTCTGGGCCCATGCACAGAAGATTCTCAGGCTTCATGTCCCTGTGAAAAAACCCTAACGAAAGACACACTGCGTGACCGTCTCGACACAAAACGTCAAATGTCCACACATAAAATCTATCATGCTGGAGTGGTAAACAGACGTATCATGTTTATGAATGAACGTGAGCCCCTGTAGTATCTGAAACATTATATTTCTTACAGCAGATTCAGGAAACAATCGAGTCCTGCAGGAAGAAACAAAGAGTTAGAAACTGTACACGTGTATAGAATAAAGTTTTTAATAAACTGTGGTATTAATAATGCAACAAGTAACAACTGCACACACCTGTCTTTCATTAGCTGGTATAGATTTTCCTTCATGTACTCAAATATGAAGTACAGGTGATCATTTTCTCGAATGACCTCCTTCAGTTTGATTATATTGGCATGGTTGAGTTTCTTTAAGGACTGTGAGAATAAAAGAAACAGATCACATAAGAACCTGTGGAACAGATAAATGAAAAAATAGCAGCAGGAATTTAAAAAGAAAAGTCAATCTAACCATGCTGGACAATACACACGGGTCACTGCAGCACATTCAAAAGCACGTCCTACGACTATGAAACGAAACCTGCATGTTAACACACGGCTCGAGTACCAACACAATGGAGTTTTGGGGGGAAATGTACTTACAATTAAAGTGTGAATAGAAAGCAGGATGGAGAAATATACACTGTTCCCATGCACTGGGATGACAGGTTTAACCATGCTAAGTTTAAGTAAGGGGGGGGGGGGGGGAGCTGTAATGGGGATTTTGATACTATAATGGTGTGACATGCTGTAATTATGATCCAATTAGCGTCTAAGGACCACATGTGTTGCTGCGTTGAGGTCAAGCTCTAGGGGAGGGGGGAGGGGGGGGTGTAAGCCAGGGATGGGAACGGGAGCTCAAAACCAACAGCACACAAGAATCACCTTCAACTCTTAGAGCTGGTGTGTGACTTTGAGCTGTGAGGAAATTTAGACAGCAACATACTGAATTGGTATGAAAACAATCGACAGAAAATTTGAGTATTTGACAATTGGTCTAAAATGTAGATGTACAGCATATTAACCATATTATCATTACTGCATTACCTGCAAATCATCAAGTTATCATGAAGTTACATCTCTATCCTACACAAAGCAGCTGACAACATGACATGTCATATTCAATGTTTGCTATTTGAAGTTGACTTATTAATGTACATATTTATGAAAAGGCTCGGTGAAATGCAGCCCACGTCTTGTGGAAGCAATGCTACAGCACTGAATTCAGCATTTAGCGGTTGTATTATTGTTCCACATTATTGTTAAGGTTATCTATTAACACAGCACAGCGCGGTGATATTTCAAACACTAAATCTGAGAATGGAGACAATACTCCATGTGTGTGGAGCTTCAATAACAACACTGACGTGCAAAGTTAATGGGGATCAGTTGCAGCTAGTACATACAACAGTACATTAACATGGGCACATATTTAATATTCACGTTATCAGTAAATATGGACAATTCTCTCCCACATCATAGATGGAACTGCATGATGCAAGTATTCAAGTTGATTTTGGGGGTTGTATTTTTCCGTAGTTCTGCTGTGCTATTCAAATGTGTGAAATTGTGTTGGAAAGATAAACTCACCTTGACTTCACGGAGGTTCATGCATTCTTCCCAGGAGTAGAATTTTCTTTTCATTCTGAAAAATATTTTTCTCATTAACTTATATTTTTGCAATTGATATCAAATTGATACGATTGCTGCCGATTGCAAACGCACACCATTTTCCGGATACTCACTTCTTTATGGCAACCAGCTCTCCTGACTCCAGACTTCGGCCGAGGACGACCGAGCCATACGTGCCATCCCCGAGCTGTCTGATATTTGTGTACCTATTCATCGCGCTTGTCCTTCCATAGCATCCGGGGGAAAGACTGTAATCGGGTGGAAAACAGAGTGTTTGCCTGCCGCTGCTGAATGCAACCAGATTTTCCTGTGACAACAGCAGAAGACCACAGGCAGAGCTGGAGCACTCATGGTTTCATGGAATGGCCTCCTTCTAGCTGGGAAGGTGAGGGATTCATGACAAAAAAGCTGTGGTTAGTTATGTGAGCCTCGCTGTAATTACTATGTTGGCCATTTGACCACAAGCTTACCACTAAATAAGACATTTAATGGTTGGAATACATGTTAGTGCTGTGGACAAACTATATGAATCTTTGGCCCCGCTATAATGAAATTTCAAGTGTTAATGATGAATTAAGAACCATAGTTTTCAGAATGATGCATGAGAGTTTGTTTTCAAATGCATCCGATGCAGAGGGAAACTGTCTCAGAGTTTCAGACACTAGTTAAACCCAAGATGATTTTAATGATTTTTTTTTTATGTGGGCATAATTTGCATAGTCTGTATTTTTTTTTTAATGAGGAAATCTAAACTATGTCAGACACATATTTGACATGTCTGGAGTAACTTGGACTGTTGACTGACAAGTTATATAAAGTGTGTAGTACAAGAGTGTCACCGTATGAAATCTTCATATAGAGAGAAGGATGAAAACTGTCAAAGTGGTCTTTTAAGTAGCAAACGTTCATCTATGACCGTTTGTAACCATCTCTCGGTTGAAATCTCGTTTATCAACGTTAACTCGCATTAGATTGCTAATACATCTAGCGTACTACTTGCACACGTGGTACAGTTGAGGCTATATCTTATAATTGTGTTGTGGTGCTGGTGATGGCCCAGCTGCTCACTACAATATTAACGCGCTGCAGATAAAAAAACACACACTGGCCTGTTTGGACTGAATGGTGTGCTCACTTAAAAGACAGGAGGAAAAGCTGCAGACATCACTCACCCTTCCCGCGTCAGATCGACAACAACACATAGCCGAGCATTTGTAGTCGATGTTCAACAAATGGCTTAACGGAATAATCTGTTGACAGAGACGCGCATCCACTGCGTGTCTAACACACAACATAAATAAATGTTATCCAGGCCCTTTCGTCATAGAGCTCGTCGTAATCTCGCGTTGCTGTAAAAACAGTTTGCGGTCTCGTTACAACAAATCATAGCTCCACTTCGGCTGCGTCGGAAACAAAGATCCAGAACGAGAAGGATAAAATCACGGCAACTCTATCTCTATCTCCTCATTGACCATCTAAATACATAGTCGAGAGAAGTAAATGTCATAATAAGTTTCGTGCATAACAATAAAATGATAAAACAAGACCGATATTCAAAAATACTACAAGGAACAAGAAAGATTTCGTGGTGCAAAGCAAAGCCGGAAGTGACCAGATGTGTGTACTCTTGTATTGAATTCTTCTTCTCTGCTCAAATGTTTGTCCACAAGTCAAGCTGATGGTCCAGTTCCAAACTTGTTTTCAACACGTTTTCACACGCAGACTAGTGGTGGAAAGTGTTCAGAAGCCACAATAGATAAATAAATGATGTGTTGTACATACACTAAACAAATAAGCGTAACATGAATTACTAGTTATCTAAAGTAATAGCGCTGATGGGGAAGATTGGTCTTTCGCTGTTAAAATGTAGGTGAATGATTATTACACAAGCAGTATTTTAATATTGTTGGTAATGTTTTTTTCAGTTTGGGTTATTTTGATGCTTTCAAATACGTTCGGTGATTACATTCTTCTCCCTAAGTTTATAATGTTTTCATTCTTCTCCCTAAGTTCATAATGTTTTCACCCCCACATGCCAAATTGCATGTTTACTGACTAAAACCAGGCAGTTATTTTTCTAACTTCCCAAAAATTTACATTTTGTAGAGACATGAGTCTCATATCTTAGTCGGCAATGTATACACTGTCTAAACAACTGTTAGTTAAAGGTAGTGAAAAAGTAGGCTGAAATGTGGTGTTGCAAAAAATGTTTAACCTCAAACTGGATGTAACATTATCTAAATTAGATGTACCTTCTTTGCTTCATCTCTGACATACACGCAGCAGTGGATAAAGTAGATCCTTCAAGTAAAAGTAAAATTGGCCTTCTACATAACAAATCAAACAACAAATAAGCAAACGATTACAAGTTCTGCTTTCAAGACTTTACTTGAAAATGAAAAACAAAATTGCAATATTATGAGCAGCAAAATATACTTTAGTATTAAAAGTATGTATCCTTTCAGAGTGTTATAGCACATGTATTTAATATTAACAGGTCACTAGTTCAGACACAATTTAACAGGCTTTACAACTGCTTTTGGACATTTGAAATCAGTTAAAGTTTAAAATGTAAGCAAGTAGTTTTATGAAGCTGTTCAGGTATTGAGCTGGCACACTCGGGTGGAGGAGCTGATCAACACAGAGGTATTTCATTCATCAGCTGAATGACAGTTAAATAAATATGGAGAAGCAGGAGATACAGTGGATTTGGTGACCCATCAGATTCTTTGATTAGGAATGTCACTGTAAATAAGACATTGTCATAGCTTTTACCAAAATTGTGTAAGGTATTTAGATAGGGTCACACACAGCAGCAACACATGGGCAGTAGGTCTGTTTGTGGAATACTAACACCTCACCTGTCAATATTTGGTCAACTCTGAATGGGTGACAGATTTGGAGTAACACTCATCAAATGACTGAAATGATAATGGGACAGAACTGTGAGTCAACACTGTTTTGGCCACTGTCATTATGAAATCAAATGACTAATTGAGATAATAATTGACAGATGAATCCATAAAGGAAATAATTGTTGGCTGTAACGGCTGCAGCCCCACCTTTATATACTCGTACTACTACAAATAATAATAATAATGACGCTAATAAAAGCTCCACTTCAGCTATATATATATATATATATATATATATATATATATATATACAGTTTTAACCTTCTGGGACCCTTCGGGAATAGTTCCCAATAGGTTATATTTAGGTTTTACAGAAATAACCTTCTGGGAATGTTCCTAGAACTAATATAGTATGGAAAAGTACTCAGGACGTTATTTAAAGGTTGCAGAAACATTATCTTGTGAAAGGCCCAGGGCCTCTTCCAGGCCTTGTGTGTGTGTTGTTCCTGTGTTGAATGTGTGTTCTCGGTTTATTATATTTAGTTTTGACGCCTCCCTGTTAGAATAAACATTGTAACATTTGTCAACTTTCTTACTTGATACCTCTCAGAGCCAGACCATCACAATTCAATGACACATATATTTATTTATCCATTATTTTATTCATCAGTTCGAATCTTCATTGATTGACTTATTTCACCATTTATTTCCATATATATATATTGACGTAATCGTTGATGAATAAGTCATGTGTTGTCCTCCTTACACAGAATCAACCTGCTCCTCTCTCGTGACTCTTTCCAACTTCGCCACACTTCCTGACTTCCTGTTGTCACTAGAGCTCCGGGCCACTCAGCGGAATGGCTGCGTTCCTGCGAGCTCGTAAATATGTTCGTTGTGTTGTGCGTTTCTCTGACCGTGAACTGTAAACGCTGGTGTTGACCGGTTGTGACGATTAAAAAAAAAAGGACGCCTACTAGCCAAGCTGTCATGGTGGGTCCTCGTGCTTTTACTCGTTATCCAGACAGAGACGCGTTAGCCAGCGAGCTAGCTAACATAGCTAACGTAGCTAACGTCACCTGGACACCATTAGTCGTGACGTATTCAGGACTAGTTAGTTACCAAACAACAACTTGGTTGTGACAAGAATTTAGCGACACTTCTTCAAACATTAACGACCTACTGGCATGAGATTGTAACATTTTAATGCTCTCTGTTGTCTTAGCATGAACCTTCATGGGGGGGGGGGTGAATCAGTCGTGTTGTTGTGAGCGAGCTGTATTAATTAAGATAGATTAACGAGAGCTTTTGGACTTCAGTCCAGTTTAGTGAACGGGGTTCAGAGTTTGGCCACACGAGGGTTATTATCCATGTGATTGTTGTTGTTGTTGTTGTTATTTCCCACAACTAACACCACGTGTCTGCCTGAAGTAAGGACACTTGTTTGTAACGGTGAAGAAGAACAATGGAAGAATTCAGTGGTTTCGAATTTTGACAAACATCACAAAACAATGCAAAAGACACAACAATAACAACACGTGTAATCCAGATAGTAAATCAAAATGTGCCATTAAAGAGATTAGAAATATAAACTAATTATGCAATATTTTTTGTTTTTGTTTTAAGAATTGTGACCAAGATACAGATAAGACTTTAAAAAGTCAACTCATCAGTGCTGTGGTGGACAAACTGTAATAGAGGGTCTGTTTCTGAATCGCCTCAGACAAAAAATATTCTCAAAATGTATGTTTATTTACTGTATTTAAGATACAGGAGGGCTGAAAATATTTGCTTGTTTTTAACTTTAAAAAAGAAAGAAGATGTAACACCAATAACCTCAATATATACGGCAGTCTGGTAAGTGCATAATATATAAAGAATAAAACAAAGGCAAAGAAAGTATTTGCGGTTACAACTTATCTAACTAACACAAGAAGACTGTGACAAAAGACCCATACTGTCTCCACACGGTTCTGCTATGAGTTCGTGTAAGCTCGCGAAGTGTAGGCCGATGTCACCTGCAAGAGTCCGCACACCGGAAAACAACAAATCGACAACCCCTGTAGTAACAGCTGTTGAGGACAAACAAACTTATATTGATGAATTTAAGTGAAAATCTTCTTCTTTGTGCAGGCTGAAGAAAATGCAGATATCGGAGGTATGACTGAGGATGAAGATGAAGGTTCAGATGACCCAAACCTTCATGTGAGGAATCTTATATAGACATGCAGTAGATCTCGTTAGGTGAAAGTGTCCCGTAAATCCATCATGTGCAGTGCAAGTACAGCATGTATTAGTACATTAATACGTGTACTCTACACCCAAGCTGTACTGGTCACACTGTTTCCAACACTGGTAGCTTAGTGGTCTCTCCGCAACTTAATTTTTCGGTAAAAGGTCAAATTAAGAAAAACATCAAAATTCTTAATTCATGTAGAAGTTTGATGAACACTATTTCACATGGTTTCTATTCAGAAATAGTTCCTGATGAATCCTTGTATGATGGATTGAGAACACAGAAGGACTTTTTTTGGCCCTTTTATAACATATAAATATAATTTTTATTGTATTGCAGCTGGAGCTCAATACGTTCAGAGCTCAGTGGATGTCTGAACTCAAACTCAGCTCTGGAGCAAGTGGACTGAGTGGCCGACTGCTGCGAGCTAAAGGTCTGAAGAGGCCGCAAGATATCGCCCGAGAGGAGAAGGTAAGTTGTGAGGTGATTTCTCCAGGTCATGTGCTGCCACACCGCTGTTGGAATGACTGATGTGAGTCCTCTTCCTTCAGGCCACCGAGTTGTTCTTGAGAGCGGTTCAGGAGGAGCAGAATGGAGCCGTCTATGAGGGTAAAATAAAGATCTTGAAATGCTATGATTGTTTCAGAGTAAGCTTGTGGAAAATGCTACATTATATCAGAGTTGTTGTGATAATACGGGCATCTCTAACTGTCAACCATGAGATGAAACATGTTTAATCCACCCATATGTTTCATCTTTCTTTACTTGCAGCAATCAAGTTCTATCGCATGGCTATGCAGCTTGTGCCTGACATTGAGTTTAAGATCAACTACAGCCGTCCTCCTGACGCAGACCGAGGTGGAGGAAACTAGTAAGCGGCTTTTTTATTTTTTCAGACATTACTAAATCTAATTCTGCGATGTTTCATTATGATGCTGTTTTTAAAAATGTGGATCTCTTAAAACACAATTTTCAATGTTGTTTTTTTTTATCTTAAAGCAACAGTTTGTTCTGTTTAGGGGGCTCTATTAGCAGAAATTGAATATAATACCAATAATTATGTTTTCTTTAATGTTTAATAGGAATCATTGCGTTTTCCTTAGCTTACAATGAGACATTTATATCTACATGCGGAGCAGGTCCTCCTCACAGAGTCCGCCATGTTTCTACAGTAGCCCAGGACAGACAATCCAAATACTGGCTCTAGATGGGGACATTTGCTTTGATTTTACTGTTGGCCACCGTAGTTCTCCATCACAGTTGGCACATTGGAGAAGTTTCAGTTGGTTGCAATCTGCAACCTCATCGATAGATGCCTCCAAATCCAACACACTGCACCTTTAGTGGCAACAGAGGCGTTTTTTACTTTCATCTCGACTTTAAGCTTAAACCTTCCAGTTTATGTCTGTGCATTTCTGTGAGGTCATGGATTGTATTCATACAAACAGGTGTTTCTAAAGTCCTTGCTTATGTCTGAAAGGTGAATGAAGTGGTGTGTAGGCTTGTATGAGAGACGGGGATATTGTCACGTCTAAAACTGAACATGTGTTTGATTGCAGCATGGACAACAATGTTGACGGTGAAATCGAGGATCTCCTCGCCTACTTTGAGGAGGAGCTCACTCTCGAAAGCTCGTTTCCAAAGATCTGCACTCCTGAGTTGGATTTGACTCAGATGCACATTTCAGGTAAAATCTGTATTTATTTATTTTTAGATCGTAAACATGTCTCAAGTCATTATCAACTTGTATTTATGCATGTGTTTTGTTTGAGTGCAGCCTTGCCGAGTGAAATCCTGATGTACATCTTCCGCTGGGTTGTGTCGAGTGATCTGGACATGCGAGCCCTGGAGCAGCTCTCTCTGGTTTGCCGTGGGTTTTACATCTGTGCAAGGTCAGACCCTCTGTCATAACAGATTAGATGTGGGGCAGCTTGCTTCTTCTTTTCTATGTGCATGGTTTAAGATTTACTCAAATCTTTTTTTTAATCTCTTTCTCTCCAGGGACCCTGAGATTTGGCACCTAGCCTGTTTGAGAGTGTGGGGACGGAACTGTACCAAACTTGTTCCCTTCAAATCCTGGAGGGAGATGTTTCTGCAAAGGCCTCGTGTCCGTTACGATGGTAATTAAGTATATTTTTTATTAATTTAAAAAGTCAAAGATGCAAATTTAAAGATAATTGTTATAAGCACAATACACCAGTTCCAAAGAAAAATGTCTCAAATGAGCATTCGGCTAAATATTGCCAGTGAAGATAACATTGGACCGATCTTGATTTTGCTTCTAAAAAGTGAACACTGGCCAATTTTTTCTATTATTACTACACTGAACATCCAATGAAGATGATTTCCTGGATGCTGAACTTTCTGTTCATCATTTTTTTCACAGGTGTTTATATCAGCAAGACGTCGTACATTCGTCAAGGAGAGGCATCTCTGGATGGATTTTACAGAGCTTGGCATCACGTTGAGTGCTACAGGTAGATGTTTGATTTTAACTGTGATTTTCTGATTGTGAGTTGTGTAGATGTCACAGATAAGAGTTGCCATTGTTATCACAGGTACCTCCGGTTCTTCCCCGACGGCCACGTGGTCATGCTGAACACCCCCGAGGACCCTCTGTTGGTTGTTCCTCGCTTGCGTACTAAGAACATCAGGTACACCTTCTCTGTTTCCTACCAACTCAGCTGGACTGGATGTCAGAACATTAACACATATTGTCTCAGTGACTTGGCAGCACTTTTCACGATTGTTGAATTTTGTTTCATTTTGCAGAATGGATTCTGTTCTGCTTGGTCATTTCCGTCTGTCACAGGAGACGGACAATCAAACCAAAGTTTTTGCTGTCTGTAAGAAAAAGGAGGTGAGAATGCGTTTGGGGGGATTTGTGTGACGAGAGGAAGATGTATACTGTAGGAAAGAGTAAGTGGCCATTGTGCATCCTTTTTAAAGCACAGGTACAGATGTGCTGAGTTGTAACGGATGACTTGCTTATATCTTCAGCTTTTGAAGAAAAAAACTTTTCAGTTACTTTTACTCAATTCAAACATGAATTTTTGCACTGCTGCCTTACTAGTAATGTCATACTGAGTGACGCGTGGATGCTCACCTGCACTGTAAATTCTAAATTTCCAAGAATGTTTAAAGTACAACAGCTTGTGAACCGTGTTGTCTGCAAACAGAAAGCGACCGAGTTTCAAAGGAATCGGTTCTCCAGGCGGAACCCCCCTCCTCCAGAGGCTGAGCACAGCTTCCACGTGGGACTGCATCTGTGCTCTGGGGGGCGCCAGACTTTCAGTAAGCTGGTGTGGATCCACCACTCCTGCCACATCACTTACAAGTAAGAGACACGAGTGAGAAAGTAGTGGAAAAGAGAAGAACGAAATTCCCTATTTGTTTCCAAATTGACCCGAATTGTGTTTCTAGGCCGACTGGGGAAACGGTCATCACGCCGTTTGACCTGGACAGCATGTACACACCCTTCTTCTTTGCACGTGTGAAGAGTTACACTGCTTTCTCCAAACAGCCTCTTTAAGCTGCCTGATAACCTGCACAGGATCCCACGAAGACCACAGCAAAAAGGTCTTCCACCATTTAAAGAAAATGCATACTCAGCTTGTTTAATTTGTGTTGCAGCTGGATTACAGTCTTGACAAGTGAACCCTCATGTTTCCTACATGCAGCCACTTTATTTCAGGTTTACATGATAGAATACTAATTATTTTCTGATTTCAGAAAAATTATCTGCTGTGAGCTAAAATAATGAGCAACCTTTCCCACCTGCTCCAAGCAATGAATGTTCATACGGTGTTTGTTTCATGGTGCACTTTCTCCCTCAAATAAACAGTGGTGAACAGAATATGCTCTTATAGTTTGATTTGTTTTAACTGAATGACTTGTATTGACAAATACCACATAGAAGGGAATTTGGTAAATGTTGCAAAACTAAAACATCAGCCTCAGGGTAGTGATGTGAATCAAAGCATCCTCATGGCTATAGGAACAAAGATACATCATAGAGTTATAGAGGTCCTATTACACAACCTCAGGGAAAAACTTCTACAGTGCATCATTTGTCTTGCTGAGGACACACCAGTATAATCCACGCATTACATTTTCTGGGAACCTAGCGCGGACAGATCAAACAGGATTTGCAGAGAAAAAAATAAATGTGAAAGTTGTGTTGGATTAGGCTAAAATGATTTCTGCTTTGTTGACTCTACTGTAGAGGGTTTTTCAAAACATATTCTAAAGGAAGGACAATAGCCTGTTGCAAATTCCGAATTAAAATGGCAAATAAATCTATTTCTGCTTTTGTATGAGTTGGTAGAAAAAGACAGATATAGACAATACAAATACAAACAACAAAAGGCAATTAAAAACTTAATTTTGTTTAATTTGAAATTAAGTTTGAGTTTATTTGCACATGATAACTTCTAATTTTAAAGCCTCTAGGCTCCAGTTTTATATTGCTTTGAGGTAGGCAGATATCAGGGCACTATAAGTGCAAATGTGAACTAAATCCAAGTGAAAGGTGAAATGTATGAGATTAAGTAGGTGTCCCCCCAACAGTGGTTTTATTCTGCTCTTTTTTGCCTATTGGGTGAGTCAATATACTGATCAATTTTGATCCCTATTTGCTTTGTACATTTTTTAGTTCATCATCAAAATGATAAAAAACCTTGGTTGTGTTTTGTTGTACATTGGCTATCTTCAACAGTAAAGCCCTTTAGAGGATTTATTGTCTGTACTTATAACTGCGTCCCTTCTACTCCTCTGCCTGTAAATTCAATATGAAACTGCAACCAGCAAAAAGTTAGCTTAGCTTAGCATAAAGACTAGGAACCGGGGGAAACTGCTAGCCTGGCTCTGTTCAAAGGTAACAAAATTTTCCCACCAGCACCTCTAAACATCCAAATTTCTACATTGTTTCACACCTGGAAGCTGCCCAGTACAACCACAGTCTGATCTGCGGCTCCACTGAAGCGGTTGGCGTTAAGGGCCTTGCTCAAGGGCCCCAAAGTGGTGGTAATGAAGGAGGAGCAAGTGTTGCCTGATTTATTCTGGCGGTGAACCGATAAACTTTGGGTCTTGAAGCCTGATCTATGAAGTCCTGAAGACACACTTGTTAAGCACATCATGGAAATGATTAAACAGATGCTTACTATACCGCTGTTTTCAGGGGAGAACCTCAACACCATCACCCCGCATTATTTCTAGCATCATCTTCAAGGAAAGACAAGTAGTTTAGAATCTCAGTTTGTTTTCAATGAGTTACAGGGAGTAAAGCATGAGTCACAACATGTCAACCCAGAGTTACCCCACATTTCAGAAAATATATTTATATATCTATATTTATTTTAACAGTCTATAAAAATGTATGTAATATATAATTACATACGCTTCCTTGGCCTTTACCAATTGGGATCTTGTTAAATGCTAATCCAGCCCTTAAATATATAAACCCTGTTACCTTTAGCGCTTTCAGCTTGTACAAAAAAAGAACTGCAACAGGGATGGCATGTAGCTGGAAATACTTCAACTAAATTTCTGCGTGGATACGACTTCTGCATGTTTACCAGGTTTTCTCTCATTGGCAGATATCTGCGAATCAGATTTATCATGCAGACACAATGGTATGAATTATTAAAAATGTAACAATAATTTCTGCTGCAGTGAACATGAATCTAGGTCATCTATACATTTGAACAACACGTCATGCTCATTCAGTGGTTAAGGCCATAAAGTACCTCATTAAATTGATTCAGCATGGTGGAGGAGTGCAGCAGTGCTCAACTGAGAGAGAATCAGTTTTACAGAGTTCATAAATCAAACATCCTTGTACCATTGTTTTCTATACCATCATGTACTGTGTATGCCCCTGGCAATGGTTTAGTTAAGAAGTAAATAACATAAACATAAGGAACACAAAGGAATAAATAGTTCAAATACTCTACAACCTTTGTTCTCCACTAAAGAAAACCCCCAATTAATTATCTTATGATGACTTTATGTTTTTACTTTTAAAACATGTTTATATGGTAAAAAGAGAAACAGTTTTTGGAAAATGTTAAAAGAATAGTTCAACATTTTGGGAAATGTGCTTGTTAGCTTTCTTGCCGAGAGCTAAATGAGAAGATTGATACCGCTCCTATAGTTATACGCTAAATATAAGGCTGCAGCCTTTGGATAGAACCAGGCTAGCTGTTTCCCCCTGTTTCCAGTCTTTATGCTAAGCTAAGCTAACCAGCTGCTGACTGTCCTGTAGATTAATTTCACACAGACATGAGAGTGGTATTGATCCTGTCGTCCAACTCTCAGCAAGACAGCGTACAAGCAACTCCCCCAACTATTCTTTTAATATAAGCTAAACATCACTGTTGGTTTAATATGTTTCAGTTGTTAGGTATGATAGTTTAGGACATTTGATATATCAAAAACAGAAACATCAGGCACAGGATATGAACTGGAAGATTGACAGATATTAGTCTGAAATGGACCAACATGAATCTGGTGATAGCATATTGAAAAGATGAAAAATGCTAAATTAGAAACCAAATAAACTGGTCCAGAAGGCACCATTTTTATGTAAAGACTAAAAACAACTACTACATTTTAATTGACAAAACAATTCCATCTCATGATTCATTCAGCTGTTTTGGAGCTTTTGATCACATGGTCTTCCTCAGTAGATGGGGTTTACCCATTTGTCATGAAATTTCCATTTCCATTTTTTGGGACAAATTAAGGACTTGTGTTGAGGAATTAATCTGAGAGGAGACTAACAGATTTTTACAACATGGGGGATGTTAAGAAGAATTGATTTTATATTGTGCTCATAAAACACAACTTGCCCTCTAACATCGTGTCTTAAACTGGTTTAAATATGAATCCCTGAAAATGCAATACACTATGCTTTGGATATGCTTTGGTTAGATGGTTAAATACTCCAGACTGGAGAGCCTGCTCTGCAAACATATAGGCCCTACAGCAAAACGTCTGCTGTTGCAATCTGTCAATAAAAATGTGTTACAGTATTAGAAAGGACAAACATTTTAGGATTATGCAACAACAGGCAGGAGAGAGGTAAAGCAAGACACAGGATGCATGCTCTAGTTACACATGAAGGACCATAGCAGGCGTTGTTATTTTAGTTGTCCCTTGGGTTGTTGAAAGAGACGTCATTGAGTGTGATGAAACCTTCAGCTGCAACCAACACACTCACTGGAGCGTTCATCTTTGGACCTTTTGTGTGAAAAGCATCATTGAATGAATCAAAATGTGTTTAATTGCTGATAGCAAGAGATTTTTTTTACTTCGGAGTGAATTTCTTCTAGAGGGTGGGTGAGGTATTATTGTGCGACTATACTATACTCTTCTATGGGAATTTATTATTCAATACCATGAGTAGGAACGTGTGCAAAAACATGGAAAGTCTCTGGATATATGTGACTATGGCTTATTTCATCTCCAGTGAGTGCTAAACTGTTCTAGATAAGAAGATATTATACAGTACCTCCTAGCAGCATTAGCTAACACGCTACAGTGAGAATTAGGTGGCGGTTTCTCAAATGTCAATCCACCCTCAGTTTCTTGTGTGCAGCGCGCTCCATGGCTGGCGTGCCATTTGCATGTCCATTTGTTGATGCAGGAGAACCATTTTGGTGCTCCTTCTTTAGAGAACCACTGTGCTTCTTGTAAGTCTTGAAAGAGAGGCAGAAATAACATGTTATAATTAAACACAATGTTATCACTGACAATTAAATAAGACTAACAGGTTACTTCGTGATTAAATGTAATTGCTGAAACACAAGTTCATTTTTATACTGTGAGATATGAAGTTATTCAGAAACAGTGTTTTCTCCACATAGCTTTCTCACAAACTTGAGGGGTCCTTATCAAAACTAAAAATCGTTTGGCATATCATCAATATCACATTTTCAATACTACATTGGACTCCAAGCTCTAGTATCGGGCAGGTTATAAGCAACATTATGTAACATACACAAATGTTAAACCAAAGAAGTCTGCTTCCAGTAACAGAATTAGTTCACCAAATTCAGCCTTGTGTTTTTACCTATATACAAACACAAATATCCAGTTTAATTTATAATATAAATGATAAGACTGACATTATTTATATTACAGTCAACATATATCCTGAAAATACGAAATACATTTTCAAAACTTTCCTTCTTCCTTTTAGCTCCAAGCCTGTTTGCTTCTTACATGAAGATGTATATATTTTTATGAATATAAAGTTTAATTTAAAAAAATAAAAAATTCTAAAACAGTTGAACACTGTTGTTTTTATCAACCGTTACTCAGACAGGAGTAAATACCGCATTTGTTCTGGACTATGTTAAGCCGTGGATTAATATACATTTGGTGTTGTAGTGAGTATCTACAGCAGCATGATGGAGTTTTTTGGATTGACTCAAAACTAACTCCAATGGCCATGTTCATTGTAATGAAGGAACATGTTACCCTGAGCAACAGTGTGGCCCATAACAATGGAGACAGCTATCACAGGCTTTGGCTACACAGAAAATGCTTGTTAGTGGGATCAATTCATTGTCAGTTTTACTCTGTTTATGGCACTTGCTGACAATAATACCATATCACCAAACTTATCCTTTAAACTCATGCATTAACAATTTAAAATGGAAAAACCAACTGACCTGAATGTAGAAGTTTGAGAAAAAGAAAATGAGTGTGACCATGTAACTTATTTGGAAGTACAGCCAACCCTTGGGGAAGTTACATGGCCATATGACTGCAGACATCGTCTGGGACATGGTTAAAAAGAACTGGATCTGTGGAGGAAACACGACACATGCTAGAGTGTGAAGGTGACACAGAACCTATAGAAACATAATATAGATCCATAGCCTCAAATATCTTTTAGTGGAAGGTGAAAATGTCTGCACTGTGTTACAACTAAAGAGGGTTCCGCAGAAAATAGTCCAAGGACACTTTCAACATCTAAATAGTAACGTCAAGCGCCACAATGTAAAGTGAATATAACAATTATTCTATTATTATTATACTACTTTTACTTAAGTAAAATATCTAAGCACTTCTTCCACCTGTGGGGTGAACCCACCAGCTGTAACTGTGTGATGTACTTCTTCCACCAAAGGTACGGCCGTATGGCTGGGATGGCCGACAGGCCGTAGTAAGAATACATCACCACGTGGACGAAGCTGTTCAGGGAGGCGCCAAAGTACGCTGAAGAGACACAGAAGAGAGACACAGGAAGTTAGTAATTTACTGCAAGCAATAACTGTCAGTGAATGGCAAGTGACATGCATTAGGAGTGAGATGATGAAATAGGGAATAACTTATTGTTAGTATGAAACCATTACTACAAAGTTGATGTAAAATCAATATAAGCTATTAACAGTGAAGTCATAAAGAAATAATATAGTAAACATCTGATGAATAATGAAACATGTATATAGATGTGAAGCGTCACATTATATTTAAATAATATAGTAATAAATAATACTATAGTAAAAGGCACATTAATATGGAGAATGTCACTTAGTATCCTTGAAGGCTTTGTGGGGAAAACGGGCGGCTTTCAGGGCTAATGGGTTTAGAGCACTTGAATTATTTAGCTCTCTTTAGGGCCAAACCGTAAATGTGGTTACTGCAGTGATTTGAGTCACTGGAGGTCGAAGTTGTGTTAAAACACTCACAATGGCCGCAGGGGACCCAGTTCATAACAAACCACCAGATATTCAGCATGCTAGCGTGGTGGTAGATGTGAAGAAACGTGATCTGGTGATTGTTCTTTCGTAGTATGAAGAAAAAGGTGTCCATGAACTCGATGAGCTTGGAGAAGTAGTACCACCACAGGACATTTGTGATCTGAGAGGAGATGCAGCAAAACAAAAAAAGAGTTAAAGAGGAATAAAACAGAAGAAATACTTCTTGAAGAGAACAATATAGAGCTGGCAAATCAGAACTTCTTAATACAGTTAAGAACTTCTTTCAAATTTCCTGCACATACTATTTATCATACTAGGTGAAAAGCAGAAGTGTTCCTCGAAGGACCTTGAAAGTTCAGGATCATAAAGCAATTTAACTATCTGTACTGTGGCAGTGGCACAGTGATAAAGCTCTTGATTTAATCACCGCAGAACTGCAAAGCCGTGCACATTTCAGTTGGAGCCTTGTTTTCACCTCCACTGAGCTCAGTAGGGCAACTGAAGAGAGTCATCATGATGACATGAGTTGGATTAAATTGACTCTCCTGTCTCTGCAGCTCATCCGCTGGGATTTACAGGTACTTGCCCATAGAAATCAGAGCAAAAAAGAAACACACATTGTGCTTAATATATATATATATATATATATATATATGTTTATATATAAGCTAGCTTTCCTACAATAACTGGTATTTATTTATATGTTTACTGTCCTATTAATAATATCAAGAAACAGAATAGGAAATAAGATGTAAAACATGTGATCAAATGAAAATAAAATCATCATAAAAAAGGTTGCACAGTGTAACTCAGACTGACTCACCTTATTATCCACTTCCTGTGCACTGTGAGTGTCCTGGCAGTAGAAGTTGTAGCCACCGCTCCACACAGCAGTAACAAGCTGGTGAATTGACGAATTCATAATTTTACCAATAAAACAGCTACACACACAGGCACTGCAGCGCACAAAGACAATGTAAAAGTGAAACGACATATGATGCACAACAACTTTCCTACAAGTAATAAACACATGCACAGACAGATGGCAAGTCAGACAACTACATCTGGTCCCATATCGGTTTGGTGTCAGCTTGTGGTGACCAATATTATAATGATGCAATGTATGATGTATGTATAATGTATGATATGATATGATGTTTAATGGTCCCCAGGTCATTTTATGACATGTTATCACAGAGCGTGTTGGAAGCTAATTAATCTCACTATTAAAACATTTAACACACAGGTAGACTAAGAAAAGTGCAAATACAGGAATTTCTATATGAAACATTCAATTGTAACAATCTAACTCTGCATACCTGTGCAGCGACTACTTTTCTTCTCTATATTAAAGTGGTACTCCAGTGATTTATCCATAACATCGGGGAACTTGCAAGAGACAGATTGAACAATAATGGCTACAAATCTGCTAATAGCTCAAGTATCCTGACTTGTAGTTCCTACTATAGGTCCAACTGGAAAATAACATTGGATCCCACACTTCCTATAAGACAACTCAAATACTTATTCCAGTTATTTGTAAGGGAATGTATAATATTTAACAAAAATGTTACCCTCGGTTCATTCACGATTAAAACATGCATACAATGACAGGACAACATTTAAAAAACTGAACAGTAGGGTACATCACACACACACACCATGTCAGCAAGAAGTGTATATTGGACAAAGTAAAAGCAATAATACTAATTAAAACCAAGGCTATTACCATCCTGGGTTAGACCGCCCCTGCTTGGCATAGGCCTGTGTCTTTCAGACTCAACACAATCTTTATCACAGACTTTCAAGGGTTATTTCTTCATACTTGACAAAAGCCACAAACGACATTATTATAATAATAATAATAATTGATATTACAACTCTGTTTATAGGCTGAGTAGTACTCTTTTTGACAAGTAAACTAATCTGCATGTGTAAAGTCAGTGTCATGTCCCTTTAAACAATAATTATTCTAATGCAAGTAGATGACGTGGCTTAATGCTGATTCACCAAATCGATATAGATACACTGTCTTTGTCTGCTGCTGGAAAATGCTTCATTAACGAAACTCAGTGCCAAGAGACTGCCACCAGTTAAGAACCAGCAACAGAATGAAGTATTTGGTTGATAAAGATCGAGTATTTTATCATGTGCGCTCAGATATAAGCCGTCCTCTAAGTTTTTATAACTCCCTGACTCTTTCTTTAAACCCATGGCAGCATTAGTCAGCCTTTAAATAAACAAAATTAATCACAATCAGATTTAATCACAATCATTATGTGACAAACCGCTGTGACCTGGAAAGTTGACAAGAACAAAACTGCCTTGTACTTTGATCCACACCAGGTGGCATTGATTTTTGGACTGCCAAAAGTTCACCCCATGGCCGGGGCATTGTCAGAGTACAGGGTTTAATGAATCACAAAGCTAAAAGTCCACTGGGGCCTTATGCAATGCAGACGGAAAGACAAGAAGCTTGTTCGGCCAGCTGGATGGGGGAGTGCAGATACTTAGACTTACACATATACAAAACCGCTTAATCTGTTTCTGACTTCTTGGTGTTCACCCAAAATGACTCTTTCCACTCACTATGATAAGTGAAGTCTGGGCACTGTTGCTACAACTTAAACAGCATATTCAGCCCAGACTCTGTCACCTCTCCAAATAATCCATGTTTGTTTACATCAGTGCATCTATCAATTTCAATTTATTTACGATTCGTTTAGTCAACTGTTTATCAAAAGCATTTTTCCAGCAAACAATGTTGGGCTGTGCTGATGTCCACGAGGGCATATGAGGGATTTGATGGCTGAAACAATGAGCCTGTCAGCGTCCAGCTGTGTCCCTCTCACTCCCTGATAGCACTGTCTCTAATGGTAGCTTTCAGCGGGAGACGCAGGTAGCAATAGGCCCAAGTCCAATCAGAGTCAAGTGTTAAAGAAATAGTTCAATATTTTTGGGAAATATACTTATTTGCGTTCATGTTGAGAGAGTTACATGAAAAGACTGATCGGCCTATCTCTCTCATACTTGTCTGCTAAATATAAAGCAACAGCTATGTTAGCTTAGCATAGATAGCTAAGCTAGACAAAAATGTGCGGTATAGTTGTATATGCAATATATTGTTAATCTTGTTGAGCTTTAGAAGGGGCCAGTAGAATGATTTTGTTACCTGTTTGGACAGTGCCAGTGTAGCTGTTTCTTCCTGTTTCCAGTCTTTATGCTAAGCTAAGCTAACTTTCTCCTGATTTTAGCTTCATATTTAAAATAACGCAAATAGGTGCATTTTCCAAAATGTCAAAGTATTCCTTTAATTAAACATATATATCTTGTCATATTCACACATTAGAGTTTATTTGTGAGGATGCTGCACAGATTCAGGTCTGTTTCCTCTTTGTCTTTTATAATCTGTTTGTAGTGTGACGTTGCAGAGATTGCCTTGGCCTACTTCAACACATCTCTCAGTGCCGAGCAGTCTGTTTACCTCATAGAACATGTAGAAGGACAAGAGTGTGAGGCCCAGATTGTAAACCACCAGGAGGCCTCTGCAGGAGTACGGCTGCTTGTGTTTCATGTACTTGGGCCCCATCCACACGATCAGAAGGTACATGACTGTGAGTGCAAAGGTTGGTGGGTAGTTGTCGAGCAGCAGCCATCCCCGCACCCGCTGATCTGAAATATGGAGATAAAGAGGACTGTTTTTAAGGTGGCCTCATTGGTAACAGCAGATTAACTTGAAAAGTGAAAAGCAGCAGCAGCGCTCACTGGGGAACGTTTGCTCAACACATAGAAAGGTTGGCAGGTAGAAGGGGAAAAAACCCAGTAGATTTCTTGTGCAAGTTCATGTAAAGTGTGCAGTGTAATGTCACTGCACACTTTGGGTCAAATTTTGCCGCTACCTTGTCTTTTCTGTTAACTGTAGTAGGCTACTCTGCTGAGCTTTTGCAGTAAATACAGCATTTGCAACATGTTGGTAGACAAACACTGTAAAGACAACAGCAACACATTTAATATCAGCAACTAAAGATGACAATATAAACTTGACTTACCCCTGGGTCCCATCCATGACTCTAAGTAAGTGTTCAGTTTATGATTGAGAGTCTCCATTTCTCACCTAAAAACAGAACAAAATAATTTAAACAATTTAAAGCAGTATGAACATACATGATCGCCATATTAAGCAAACATTTGTCTGTTTCCACAAATTGTGTTATTACCCACCTCACAAATCTAAGTCCAATATTCACTCTGCTGTTAGCTCTGGTTTGGTCTCCATCAACTCCTGAAGGAAATATCTGCTTCTTTAGCAGCTAGATGCTCCACTATGTTTACCAATTAGTTGCAAATTTTGTCTGTCTGTCATTTGAAGCCAAACAGGTAGCATACATTGAGTTATTCAGAGCTTTTTTTGACTGAAAAGAGTGGCTGGTAACAACACTGATTAGAGTGACTAAAGTTTCGGGCTGTAAAACCAAAACAATGAGCTGAAAGACACTGAAACGCTCCATAGAAGAGAGGGGAACTGCAGAGTTGGGTGATGATTGTCTATGTTTGTCATTACAAGTGACATATTTTAAATTATACATAGTCATTTGACACCTTTTTTTGTATAAAAATATTGATAAGTGCAGCTTTAAGTATAAAAAGCTAAATTAATCTGCCTGAAAGAGTGCTTGTTAGTGATCACAACAACAGTCTTCTGGAAATTCTGTTAACTCTAAGTAGTGTTTAAATAACAAAATTAAACTCAATTTTGTCAATTTTGATACATTCCTATCGTGTCTGTTGTATATATGTCGTTTTGTGCTCAAGGTGGTCCACCAACGCTCTCTTATACGTCCCATGTCCCGATAACTGATCCTTCGCATCCATGTGGCTTCAAACAACGGATCAAATGTGGCCACTTATGTAAAACAAGATCCCAGCAGGCAGGTGTGAACAGACGATAACCTCATCTCTATTTACTTTAGACTGATGTAGCGGGATTGTCTGGCTTCATGATTGTTGAAAATAATGACATGTGTAGATTTACTACCGCTAATGTACTTCAAGTTTTGAAAATCAACGATTCTTGTCTGGCCCTGGCAATGCTGCCACATTTACTTTGGTTAAAAAGATTTCAGGGGTGAGTACTTTTTTCATAAACAGTATAATTTATCATATAATTTCAGATTCCACTGCTCTACTTGTGACAGTCAGATCAACCCTGTGATATAAAGCTTCTGCTTTGTGTGTGCCATGTATGGCGCGGCTGTATAAATGTCTGGATTATTCTTCTTACACATAGAAGTTTTAAGTTATTATTACTCTTTTGTCCACTACCTACTAACGTATGGTCAAACTGTGGGAAGCTTTTTGACTGAGATCTAAGCCTGGACAAACATCTGAAGTTTCACAGTCATGTTTTTACAATAGAGAAAACTCACTTCCTGTAAATCATACTTTGTAAATACATTGATGTAGCTTTCTCACACAAACCGTACAACTGTGGAATAGCCACCCTCTCCAGAAAAAAACATTATATAAAGTTGTGACAAGATTGTTCACACTGCACAAACAAATCCCTGCAGCTGCTTTTCTTACTGTAGACCTCTTTATGTATTATCCCCTCAGGGGGACTTGCACAATCCTGCAGGTCTTCACATTCTTTGCTGTGTCACCTCAGGCTTTGCACAAAATGACTCATTGCAACCACAGAAATTCTTTATTTCCACTAACGTGTTTCAGCGATATGCACTCGATTCAATCTGATTACATCACAGACTGCTGCGCTACTGGACAGTTTCTACACCTGCGTCTGCTGCTGGAAACAAAATATGGACTACATACTGTATGTCTTTCTTACATAACGTCTCCTTCAGATGTGAGATATTGTGGCTCTTATACTAAATGACGGAGGGCCGTGTGAACCTCTGCTGTTTGGCCTGTTTTTCCAACAAAGACCCCTGAACATAATCTAACATAATATGCTTAACAAATCTGATTTTGACTGCAGATGGGTTCCAGACTTTTGGCTCCAGTCAGATTTGTGTGTCTGAGGTGAGTGTAAAACACAGCTATACAAAATACTCTTGGACTTTATAGACAGAAATGTGAGTCCAACTATTACATTTAGATAAAGCATCTCAATTCAATCAGCATGCAGCTCTTAGTATTTTGATTATCAACTCGGATGATTACATTCCACAATGTTAATATGTATTCCACAATGTTAACAAGGACTCTTATTTAAATAAAGTGCTTATTACATGGTAGATATACATGGTACATATTTGTTCCTTGAGTGCTATTGTGCAACTCAGCACAGTGTATATGGAGAGTGTAAACTTACGATGAGCTGCCGCCCAGGCAGCATATTACTGATGGTTGCATTTGTCCACCATCACTTGTCAACAGGAACAAAATATGGCTTATTCTGGTCGTCCTCAGTACAGTAATAGCCATGCTCTGATTATCAGAGTTGCATTAGGCTGCGCCAAAACATGATAATCTGCAAGGCCTTAATCAGAGCATGATGAGCCCCAACAGGGGAGCATGCTAGCAGCCAGCCAGTGAGTCTGTGCTAGCTCAATGTTGGAGCTATTCAAAATACATCTAAACAATCAAAGGAAACACTAATGCATCATCTGGACTTTGGTCAAAACGAGTGGTTTCATCACTGCAGCTGATAATGACTTGTTCAAACAGTCTAATACTGTAAGAGTTAGGGTTGGCCGATATGACAGTATACTGTATATACAACAATATAAATATATCTATCATCATGGATTTTTGTTTACACCAAGGTAGCTCGCCCATATGTCAATGTATTAGGTCATTGTGGTCAATGTTGCAAATCAATTAGCAGGACTTCTTTATTTTCATATTGGATCTTCACATGATTTTTGCATCGATGTGATGATGTACCTGTATTTGTAGGTATTTTAATTCATTCAAATCACCGTAATTTAGACATGTAAAATTACAAATTACAGCTAGTTCTGAGCCTGGTTATCCTCTGTCGTTTTCATCTTTCATTGAGAGGTGGTTTCACAGCATCGCAGTAAAAGACAGAAACTGTTCTAAGACCATAGGAGTGAAACAAAAGACATGCATTCTTCTGCAATCAGTCATCCGGAAAGCCAACATGTTGGCTTCTTTGAGACAAGTCTTTGCAAGTGAATTATCTCTGTTGCTATTAAGGCGTTATGTGCTTGTAAAACGAATCGCCATACAAAATCATTCATCCCCTCTGCAATAAGACTTTTGAATGCTACATAGGTTTCTTTTTTGCCATTATTTATAGATTTTATTCCACGTTTTAGCTCCTTGGTGTGTGTGTGTGTGTGTGTGTGTGTGTGTGTGTGTGTGTGTGTGTGTGTGTGTGTGTGTGTGTGTGTATCTGTATGATTATGTTTGTGTATGTGACTGTTTCTCTCGGGATGCTCAGAACTGATTGCTGCTTGGTGGGATTGATTACATTGTTTTGAACTTAAATTTGAAACAGCAGCAAAAGCAACATTGAAAAGTTTTCACCAGGAAGTTTGACAACTATCAATCACAAACAGAGTTTAGTAAGTAAATGTATTTATAGTATGCAGCATTCGGCTGCCTGTGCCTTCATAGTAATATTTTAGCGCAATTGAGTATTGCGAATGCATGACAAATGCATTGAAATATTGTTGCCTACTAAATCTGCGACCTGCCGCTTATTTGCACCACAATATATTGCATACAGTATTTTCCACCAGGGTCACACGTGTAATCTAAACTGCACTACTTATACTGTACAGTGCACAGTATAAAACAGCAGCCCGCTCTCCAGTTCAACTGAAAGATGGGAGCGCAGACATGTTGACGGCGGTTATCTCATTGCATCATCCTCTAATTTCATCCCCCAAACTTCCAGAGAGGAATTAATTAATAAAAAAAAAAAAAACACTTATCGCATCCTGTCGATCGCATCCAGACTAGAGGTCGCCGCTTCAGCATCACCCAAACTCATCGCTTATGCAAACGCCATGCGCGCTGCAACATTTTCCCTTTTCAAAAAAAAAAAAAAAAAGATAGAAAGCTTCACCGTGCAGCTCCCCGGCGGTCTGGTCGCGTTAGACAGAGAGCGAAATGTTGAGTGTGGATGAAGAGATGCAGCGGTGTGCCGTAGACTGCCTACCTTTAGAGGCGGAAGGGAGAGAAAACCTTGGCTGGCTGGCCGGTCTGAGCACAATCTGCAGCCTTGTCGCTCAGTGGAAAATAGTGGGAGGAACACGCAGACTGGCCCGTTGCCCTGCAGGAGGGTTACAGCCAGGAGGTGACCCGGTGTGTTGCAACCACAGACACACACACACACACACACACACACACAGATTCACAAAGATGGCATCAAGGCTATCTCTGCCATCCTGGAATTGCTGTTAAATAGGTTTCCTGCAAATTGTTAACTCGAGGCATGTGAATACTATAAACGTACAGAGAACATAGGGTCAGCTGTGTGTGTGTGTGTGTGTGTGTGTGTGTGTGTGTGTGTGTGTGTGTTTTAAAAAGGTTAGTAAAAAACGTGTCTTCTGCAGTGGAAGAAGATATTTAGGATACTTAAATAAAAGTAGCAATGCCCAGTGTAAAAACACCCTGTTACACATAAAAGTCCTGCATTCAAAAGTACAGTCATCAACATATAAAGTAACAAAAGTCAAAGTACTCATTGTGCAGTATCACATTCTAGTGTTATCACTAATGTTGGCACTGGTGAAGGTGGAGCTTATTTCAACCACTTTATAAAGGCTAGCGTAATATATATTTATGCCAATAATAATGCCATAATATCGTAATTTATTAGTTGATTTATATTCAATATTAATAACATAAATCTGCAAAGTAACTAGTAACTAATGATGTCTACGACATGTAGTGGAGTAAAAAGTACCTCAAAATCAAACTTAAGTACAGCACTTGAAAACTTTGTTACATTCAAACAGGGCCATATGTGTGCAAAATGAATGTAAACAACAGCTAATGATTCCCGTCTCTTCATGGTCCCTGTTTGAGACAGGTTTGTAATTTGCAGAGCCAAAATTATACAGCTGACATGGCTCGGATACTTGCTTCCTGTTTGTAATAGCGGCGCGAGGCAAACCACGAGTTAACATGAATGCTAACGGTTAATTAAGGTTCCTTTTGGTCAGTTTTTGGCTCCTTGGCACTTGACTTTGTAATGTTATGGCTCAAATTAAGGTTCATACTGTATTGTACATGTGAGAAAACAGTGCCTTGGGTGACAAAATTAAATTTGTGTAAACATTTGGCACTGTCATTAGTAACGTTAGGTGGTCGTATGCTAAATAATGCAAATTACCATTAGCTGCCGTATTAGTTAGTTAGCGTTAAGTGTTTTGTATGGTTGTAGTTTTATTTTTTATGATAGTATTAATGTAAGGACGTTTGTTGTAAACACTTGTTTGAAGGCTACTTCATCTCCTAAAAAAAAATGTTAAATACTAAATAAATGTAACTTAGATTACTTGAATGCTTACCTCAGTGAAAATGTACCTGTGTGTTAGATATTTCCTTTAATTAAGGGACTTGAAGGAAAACACCGATGCATATTATTACAAATGTGAAAGGTCAATGGTAAATTGCCACTTTGTAAAAAGTGTTTTTATCTTAATGAAAAAGACTTGACACAAAGAGAGAGAGAGAGGTCTGTTTGTATATTCTATTTTGAGAGATTTAAGAGAACAAAAGCACAATTGAACCATAAAGAAATGTTTAGTTATGAACGAGAAGAGCCTGAATTAAGACAACAACTAATATTTTCTGTTCCTTTATTTTCCTGAATGAAACGGGCTATTATTATCTGGTATTGGGCCCTATTCCTGGAGCTTGTGACAGATTTTAGGAGGAACCAATGGATCCTGAGACAATAGCTCCCAAGGTATTCAAAGTGCCTGGGACTGTGAAACATGGCCGACGGTGAAAGAAAAGGACGCGTCTGGAAGATCAAGACGAGTCTTCACACGCTGACAGCTGATGACTTCTTCCAGGCGGTCGAAAGCATTGCACCGGTACCAAATCTTGATCATTCAACCACAGTTAAGGGTGACGAAGAGAGTCACATCGAGGCTATATCAGAATATATGCAATTTAGAGGATAGAGGGTTTTCTCAATTACTTCATCTAAAAGATGCCATGGATTGTTTAAAGTTGTGAAGGCACTGTACTGAGTCAGCTTGTGTCTTCTGAAGTTGATGCACAAACACCTTCCCTCGGGCCACAGAAAGTGCTAGAACACACCAGTACTGATATCTCTCCAGCTAATACAGGCAAGATAAACGGTGATGCACAAGAGCTTGGGGCCTAGGGAATTCTAAATCTACAGGGGTCAGGTATACTGTAGGTGACAGCACATCTGACATCAGCTATGTGTAAAAAGAAGAATGAGGGAATGAAAGCCAACCACACAGCGTGTAAAGTCATTCAAGGCGTGCTCATCAATAAAGATGACATCACTTTAGGCGGGTTCAAAAGTTTCCTTCAGTCACATCTGATTAAAGGAGTAGCAGTGAGATCTTCCAGGAATTGATGAGTACCAAATAGCATGAACATGAGCCCTTAGGCCATGAGGTTAGATTCAGGCCGGCCAAGTGTCAATGATTCCCATCTGCACATTTTTCCTGTTTAATACAGGCTGTTATAATCTGTGTAAATAAATGTAGTGGAATAGAAGTATAAAGTGACATTAAGGAGAAATACTCAAGTAAGGTACAAGTACCTAACAGCTACTGTTATATCTTTGTAAATTGAATGAATTTGGGTTTTGGACTGTTGGTGGCTCAAAAAATAGCTCCGATATTATTACTATTATCTATCAGTTTAAAAAGTAACAACAGCAGCAACCCAGGCACCCGACGTTTAGTACAAAATGAGATAACAGCTCACTTTTGACAGTCTCACCTTGACGTGGAGAATATATGAAGAAGTTCAAACCCTGCTTATATGTTCACACCTCAGCACATCGAGCCAATCAATACATAAAGTGGGTATGATTGCGTGATTTTATGTTTTGGAGGGTTCCAAAAATTGTCACATGCTAAATATCTCGTCTGTCTGTAGCACTGTAGCAGCATCACTTAGATAAAGTTACATTACATCACATTCATTGCGCAGACATTTGTGTCCAAAGCAACTTACAATAAGTGCATTCAATTTCTACAGGAACAACGGTGTCACCAGGTGTCATGAAAAACGGTGAGTAGGCTAATTCTCAACTAATTGCATAGCTGATGACTAACATGACACATTCATTTTTAATGCAGGCCTTACCAGATGACAAAAATAAACCTGTTTGCTTAGTGAGCAAGAACACAGTTCACAGTGACTATGGGTGCGAGGACTGTTATGATCTGGATGGTCTATGTTACTGTATGTGGTGTGTTATATTAAGCTGATGTCATAAATATTACACTTATAATATTACACTTCTCTTATAATTATTGGCACAAAGAAATACCAATATGTTTTTTTAATAATGAGAAAAGCTCAGTTTTTCAAGAACACTGACGCACTTAGACTCCCAGTTCAACCAGTCTGGTCTTTTGGCCACAGAGCAGCTTCACTGGAGAAGTTGTGGGCACGTGAGTGGTGGTAATGAGGGAGGGCTACATTCCCCACTTGGATTGTCTGTCATCCACAAATCGAAAAATGAGCCATATCAAATCTCAAGTTGTCATTTTGGTGATAACTGCATTTATTGATTTTCTTGGCCCCTTGGCAGAAACAGAAACCAGCTGTAATCAACACTGACACCTCATCACATTGTAGCTGGTTTGGCAAACAGTGAACTAATTTACTTCTGTTCGATGTCTTTCAACATTAGCATTAATTTGGAGTCGTGTTTCTAGCCACCCGACAAATGTAAATCCAATATTCATTATCCTTTTATCCGTGTTATTGGTCTCAAGTGCTGAGGGAAATATCTGTCTCTTAATAAATGCTCCACTAAGGTCACCAGCTTCTCGTTAACTTTGTATATTTAGTTTATCAGGGCTGAAAAAACGCTATGTTCTGAATTAAAACAGTTTTTGGCAGGAAAAGTAAGTATAAACATATTGATTAGTAGCCTGTATCTTCAGTATAAGCATAATCAATCTTCCTGAAAGCTTGATTGGTGACCATAATGACCATCAGGGTGATTCCCTCTGAGTGGTGTTTTGATGATAGCATGCAGCTCAAAAGCATTAGTACATATTAGTATTGATAATGGTGATGGTTCTAATGTAGACCTGTAAACAGACTTCGATGTGTTTCGTAAGGCATGTGTCATTGACAGGTTCACTCAACTCCTTCATTTGACTGCGTTGTGAGTCCATCTGCAAAGTCTGAATTAAAGGCCCGATCCCAATCTCCACACTCACGGCCTTATAGGCGCATTCCTGCAAAGTCTGGGTTTAGTTCCACCGACAAATCGTCGAGGGTTTGATGGTCCTATCGCAGACATTTTAAGCCCCTTATAAAAACTTTACGTAAGTCTGCATTTCTGCCAAAGGAATTACCCACAATTCATAGCAATATGACGTCAAAGACAGGGTTAAACAGTGGAAGCCTGGAAAAACAAGGTTAACAAAGAGAACAGCACATGGGTCTTCAGCCTAGCATTTTAAATTTACTTTACTCATCAAACATTTAATTTTTTATATTAAAAATTGCCACCACACTACACGCTAGCTACTGGATTGCCACGACTGACCTTCTCTGTGTACCGTTTCTAGAAGAAGACCAGTGTACATACTGGCTGCATCAGCTCTATTATATAAGCTAATCAGCAGGAGAACACAGGTGTAAATAATACAATTAATGATGTCTGAATTCAATTTATCTGCTTCAGTTTCAGGGTGCTGATATTACACATGCTGACTCACTGTCACTGGCTCACACACTTACACACACTGTTAATTTAGTTACACCTGCGCTTTCTATTATAAGTCAAAATGTCTGCCGTAATAAATGCCTATTTCTCCTCGGATCAGTGGGGACAAGTGTCTGTACTTACATTCACTGACCTGCTGCATATTTACTGCTTTAAAGAAATATTTTCACCTTGAATGTCTCTAATCAATTTTCTTGTAACTGTTTTAAAATGTTATTTTACTTTGCATTTGTGAACTTCACAGCAAACTAATTCTTGGTAATGTTACTGTTCTCATATTACTATATCTTATCGGGACTTTAATTTTTGTTTCAATG